TGATAATGATAATGATAATAATAATAATAATAATAATAAAAACAAATAATTTATTGTATTCACTTGTATAGGGTGGATTTTTGTATTCATTTGTGTTTTCGTAAGGATGTATGTGCTTTTGTTAGTGTGTGTGTGTGTGTGTGTGTGTGTGTGTGTGTATGTGTGTGTATGTGTGTGTGTGTGTGTGTGTGTGTGTGTGTGTTGGAGAGAAAGAGAGAGGGAGAGATAGACAGAGAGAGAGAGTCTGACAACTTTGATGAGTGAACAATTTCTACCCACAATTTCCGTGTTTCAGACTGACATCATTGAGACCTGCCCCAGTCCTTTGAAACTCGCTCAGCAGCTGACTCATATTGAATTGGTGAGTGGGTAGTTGGTGGGTGCCCTTGTGTGTTTTGTTTCTTCTTTCTTATCAAACATCTATTGTCTTTGTCTCCCCCCCCCCCCCCACCTTCTTCTTTTTGGTGTTTGTTGTTCTCCTGTAACACCTGTAATCTTTGCCACTTATATGACCTTATTGTGTTGCAAGTGCAGTAAGTTGGTGAGCTTGCATACATAGTCACTTGGTTGTTATTATTTTGCTAACTATAGATCTAGATCTCAACGGTAATATGGATAACTTTTGATATTTGTAAATGGTTTTTATTTAACTTCTAATAATTATTTGCTTTTTAAAAATCTTCTTTGATTTTTAGTATTCACTTACAATTTATATTAATTTTCTTTCTTGTGTTGGTCTTTTTTCTGTTAAAATCTTTTTGAAAATGTTATAAAAGTAAACTTTTATTATTTTTTTACATGCTCATTGGGGGTTAGTTAGAGAAAAAGAGGATTGCTTTTTGTACCTATTGTTTGCATGATTTTACTTCCCAACTTCCCAATTGTATAATGTCTTGTATTGTGTCTCCGTGATCGTGTCCATAAATTTGTCTGTGAATGTTTCCTCAGGAGCGAGTGAGCATGATTGGCCCTGAGGAATTCGTGCAAGCTTTTTCAAAAGAACGACTCGAGTCTGAGGTAGGTTATAGTACATGATGTGCCACAGTTTTAATAATTCTTGGCAAATTTCACCAGACTACGATCTTTTCTATAGAAGGCTTGTATGTAAGGGAGGAAGATTTTTTAATTTGATAAAAACAGTAAGTTGTGTTCTCTTCTTACTTTCAAGACTTAATCACTAAAGACATCAATTTCCAGTACCTGAAAAAGTCGGGGACATTGAAGTATTTGTTTTACGTACTAAATGCCTTCAGTATTTTGTTACTGGTCATATATATGTACAATTCAATAATTGAGTCAAAACTGATTTTGATTTTATCCTGCCATGTAGAGAGACTATAATATTCTTTTACTTTCTTGTTACTTTCAGCATTTGAATTATCATGACATGAAGTCCACGAGGAATCTGGAATCTTACGTCCAGTGGTTCAATCGGCTCAGTTACCTGGTCGCCTCAGAAATCACTTCAGTAAGTACTCACATGTTTATCATTGTTCTGTAATCTTGCTACTGGTTAAAGACAGTAGGTGTTGCAAAAATAAAACATTGATTCTGTTTTTGCACATTGAGTTAAATCTTTTAATTAAACCTGAAAAATTTGCGCTTATTGCTGATTTCCACTCTTTGGTGAGACACATCTGAAATATTTTTTATGTTGTATTTTGTACATGAGTTTACATGTATGTGACGGTGTTGTTTTATTTATTATGTCTCATATCATTTGTCATGCTCTGGAATCTTTTTGATTAACGAGGAATATTTTTGCTTTATTTTCCCCTCACAGCATATGAAAAAGAAGAACCGTGTCAAGATGGTGGAGTATTTTATTGATGTGGCAAAAGAGTGTATCAACATTGGCAACTTTAACTCTCTCATGGCTATCATTGCTGGCATGAACCTGAGCCCTGTCACGAGGTTAAAGAAAACGGTGAGAAATTTTCGCATGAAAACTTGAAGATTCCATAAATTCTATCTGTGCCAGAGACTAAAGTTATTTAAAGAAAAGCTTAAAGAACTGATGTTTCTTCGAAAGCTCTACTAATTTTAGCAGTTGAAATTAAAATGTATGTGTGGTACAAAAAAGAACTGATATATTGGTTAGCGTATGACAATCCAGACATCGGGATTTATCTAAAGTCTTGAATGATGTATTGTATACCTTTATTTGTAACCAGAGAAAAATTTAATATAAGCTGTGCTTATCTAGCTTTTTAAACCAGCCCATTGTCCATGTGTACAATGCTTTGATTCAAAACAATATTGGTATCTTTCCTTTTTGTAATGTAAAATTAAAATTTGATACCATGTCTGGTAAGCTTATATATGTCTTTTGTTTCTTGATAAATGCTTCAGATTTGATAATTAACCTCTTCAAAATCTATAAAAGTAAAAGATGATAATTTTTTTTCATGTCTACAGTGGGCCAAAGTGAACAGAGACAAGTTGCAAATTTTGGAGGTATGAAAACTTTTACTCACTCTAATGGAACATGACATGTTTTAATGACAAGTTTAACTTGAGATATTTCGGCACATTATCAGTGCCATAGTTCATGCAGAAGATTAGTACCATTACATTCTTTTGCTATTCAGCACTGTTCAAGATATGTGGTCATACTCCCATTTTACTATTACACATCAGGCTCTGTAGAATGTGATCAGAGGACTTGAAAGTTTTCTGTTGCCTCTAATTTTTATTTCCATAATTATCTTTATTTTCTTACCTCCACTTGACAAAAAGATCTATGTTGTAAACAGTTTGTGCATTATGCACAGAAAAATCATGTTAATATTATAATAGAATTTAATTCTATTATAATCTAATATTTTTTAAAATGTAGTTCGTTTAAAGTGCATAACAGTGATGTACTAAGAAGAAGCAAATTTTGTAAATGCATGAGCGTGTGCATGAAAGTGTGTGTGTGCGTGCGTGCGTGCATGCATGTATGTGTGTGTGAGTTGGTTGGGGGTGGGGGGGGGGGGGGTGGGGGGGGGGAGATGGTAAGAATATTTATACATGACATGACGTATTAATATGAACGAGGAAATGTGAAAATTTGAATTCAAATTCGTAACCATTATTTTTGTATTTTGTCACAGCATCAAATGGATCCGAGCAACAACTTCAGCAGCTACCGCTCGTGTCTCAAGGCCGCCATGTGGAGATCAGAAGGGGCAGGAGAAGAAAGAGAAAAGGTAACGTATTATAATAATAAAAGATTGCATTTATGTATAGCGCTCAAGAAAGTATCGCTAGAGGAAACAATGGGTGGCTTACAGTATCTGAAGGCAAGAGCAGTTGAGGAAAGGTTGTGATTGTTTGTCAGTTCAACTCTCGGGTGATTTGGGAAACTGGTATAGACTGTCAGGTTGGTATCTAGGTTATGAAATTTAACTTTATTAATTCACTGACACAGTCCTCATGCAATCTTTTGGAACCTCAATATAGTATTTACTATATTGTATTGAGTGTTAACTTTCATCACACTAGAAACTTACAACCCTTTCAATAGCTAATAGTGTTTCTCAATAAATCACCCAGGTCATGGCAATATTGTAGGACATTCAATTATGACCCAAAGTAGCAGTGAAAATACAATATTCTACAAATATAACAAGTGGCCATAAATGTTTTATTTAGAAATTGCAGTTTTTTGCTGTTTGCAACATTTGTGTCCTGTTAAGTTCAGAATACTCTGAGCTCTACAATTTTACTGTGATTCACCTTTTAATTGAAATTTAATTCTTGTTTTTTCAGATTGTCATCCCATTCTTCAGTTTGTTCGTGAAAGATTTGTATTTCCTGAATGAAGGGTGTGCAAGCAAACAAGAGGACGGCACTGTCAACTTCCAAAAATGCTGGCAAATGGCCAAACAAGTCTCAGATCTCATTTCATGGCAACAAGTCGAGGTTAGTCGCTGAGTCTTGCAACTTATAATAATAACATTAATTGTTTATTTATATAGTGTGTATCCACACTCTACAGCATGCTCTCTACACTTTACAACTATTATTACCGTGACAGATCTTAGAATACCTGAAAACATTCTCGGCTTCCTAGGAAGAATACAGTGCAAAGCTTGAATTCCATATTATGCATTTACTACATGTATGTTCAGTATTACATGCTCTATTGCTTCATATGATTCAGAAAAACTATAGAAAGATTATAATGCCTCAACTAACTTTCTTCTGTGAGCTCAGATTCACACACTTCCATATTTGATAACTTTTGGTCAACATAAAAAGTGAAAATGCTCAAGTTTACCTGTCGCTTGCACGAAATAATCAGTAACATCTTTTAAAAAAAAAGGAAAATCTTACTCAAAAACTCTACTAGCAACCTGTGTTCGAAATTGCCATTACATCTACTGTCAGGTTGCAAAGGAAAGTATACATGCAAGTTTATTTTCCAAAGTGTCAGTTTGATTAGAAAACGTCTCCCAAAACTTCCTTCCCCACACACTCACACATGTACACAATAAATGCATGAGAACAATCTTTCATACACTCATTGGTTTTGTGTTATTTAAAGCTTTGAATCCCTTCATTTCCTTGCTGTGTGAAGTAATTCTTCTTTCCCTTTATAACTTTCTGCAGTGTCCATTTGAGAAGAGCAGCTCAGTTCTGAACTACATTCTCACGACCCCAGTATATAAAGAGTCCAGTAAGTATCTATGCTTCTAAGCCTTGTTAAAAGATGCATCTCACTGGCATTTGTGGTGTAGCAGTTAGGTGATTCGCTGTCATGCGCAGGAGACCCGAGTTTGATTCCCAAGTGGGGAGAAATTTGTTATTGAGTATCTCTGTCTTTCTGTAGGGATGTAACCCTCTCAGCCCAGGTTGGCCCTGACAGATGCCTGCCTCCTAAATGTTCTAAATTGGGTCGATGTGTCTATAAAAATACCTCTACATACATTTTAAAGAAAAAAATTAAAAGAACACATCCTGCCTGAGATATTATGTTTTTCCAAGTTGTAAAATTCAGTTTTTGTTCTGATCCCTTCCAGATGGTTTTACTATCAAGTGTCCTCTCTTGAATGACTGTTTAATTTCACCGATAAATATGAGGTCATGAGTCCTATCTCCAAAAATGCAGTACCACTGCAGGAAATGTAAATTATTGTAACCAAATGGGGTGTTTAACTTTATGTTAAATAGGTTGTGTAATTCCACCTTTTTCAGAGTTAATCATATTATTGTATATAATATATATTAATATTGTTTGAACTATAATCAGCTGAATTGGTGATTGTGTAAATATGCAGTCAGGTTAACTTTATGGACTTCTCTTTCCCCACAGTGTTGTCTCTGGCTTCTTATGAGTGTGAAACCCCTGACAACAGCTACGACAGAGAGAGATATAAGCAGCTCAAGTAAGTCATGAGTTCACCCATGCTATTCAAAATTTGCCACTGTGTTGGAGATATGAACAAAGAAGCCTATCTCGACTCCACCATATGCCATGTTGAAACATGATGTACGATGGAGGCTTTCACTGAACAGTACAGTGGATCTGTATTGAGTAATGTCTTAACGTTTTTCTTTTCAATATTCTGTTTATAAAGGATCTTTGTTTCAGTTTGATCTTTACTTTGTAGGGTTCACTAAGATAAGAATATGTGTCTTCATTTAGATGTGCTGTTGTTTGAGTTTATATATATATATATATATCTGCCCCTAAAACGACTTTCAGAGACAGGACTTCTAAATATAACGTCCATCTCTGATTGGACCAAACCTGTTTGATGGAGAGCTTTGAAAACTCAAAAAATAAAACAAAAACGAAAATGACTCCAGCGTCTATTCCAACAGAGGTCTTTTGAACCACAGGCCAGAAGGATACAAACTGAGCTATTGCATATTCCCTTAAACTTGTAGATTAGATTAATTGGTTGGATCACTAAATGTTTGACTGAACTTAAGTAAGTTTTGGCTTTATAGGCTACCATTTAGATCGTACAGTGTGTTTAAAAGTAAACATTATTTTCCTTCCGAGAGCAAACCTTTTGAGTTTACACTGTCTAAAGATGTTGTTGTGGCAGGTGCTCTGGTGTGGTTTGCTCCTTATTTCCTGTCAAACATCCATTGTTTTTATCTCCCCTCCTTCTTTCTTGTGTTCTCTATTGTAACACCTCTAATCTTCAGCACTTATATGACTTTATTGTTTTGCAAGTGCCATATAACAATTACTAAAACAAAAGATTTTGTGTTAACATTTTTGTCTTATTTCTTTCCATTAACTTCACAGGTCTCAAATGAGCTTATGACTACGCGACAGAGTGGAGAAACCTTCATACTCATGCATCCCCAAGATTTCACCATCGTCATCATCATCATCATCATCCTGATAGCCTCCCTTGAAACGCGCTATCATTATAAGTTATTGTTTTACCACCACACATATAAACTTGTCATTCCGTATCCATTAGCTTTGTTCACAATTCACAGTTGTTTACTTGTGAATCATCATCATTATCATCATTATAATTATCATCATCATCATCATCATCATCATCATCATCATCATCATCATCATGTATAACAATGCCAACATATAGACATATCGTTAAACTCATCACAATTTGTGGTACAAAGCACAAAAAATGTGCAGAAAACTTTGTGATAATGACACTGGTAAGGGTATTGATTATGTATCACCTTTACTGCTAGGCTTGTAGACATCAGTAATGTAAAATATGAACAGTATGTAGAAAGAATTAAGAGAAAATCCGTAGACAGCTTTGTCATAGAGAGCCAGAAGGACAGCCTGTCGCCACCAGGTCTTCGTCTTCAATGGTTAGAGAAAAACATATATAAATATACACTGGAATAAAAGGTACATATATTTATATATATATATACTGATACCTTTATTATGTATACAAACTTTGCTTGATGAATTTTGGCAGTGCACTGTGGAGACTAGACTGAACTAATTTGATACTTTGTTGTATTTATTTTTAAACTGACCCACTTATTAAAAATGTAACTGTACAAACGTTGCCAGAGAATATACATGATTTAAATCTGTGAACAGAGACTTGCTGGTATTTGCAACCTTTCATTACACCTAACAGAATCTTGTTAATACTGTACTTCAAATGTTCTTGAATTTGTACTTTTGAAAAAAAATTAAACATTTTTTTCATTGTACAATTGTACAATGGAGTAGCAGTGAAGATAAAACGTTTGTATTTCATTGATTTGTACTTTTGAAAGTTGAAGTAAGTGGAGTTTGTTTGGGGTTTTTTCCCCCCACTGCAACTGGCATTGTAAGTGAGCCTGTCTCCACAGGATTTGTCCCAGCACCATGTATGTATGATTAGACCAGCCATGTCCTGACCTGTTATGTCTGAAGACTGTTGGTGTAGGGATGTATCATGTAAATATAACAAATATTTTGCGGGAAGGGGGATCGTCTACCAAATAAATTCCAAGAACTTTGATTATACTAATTTGCTTTGATGTGCAGTCCACTCCATTTCGTCACGCTCATAAGATAAATTCCCAAGTCATTTTTAGCTTTTTTGAGAAAATTAGGAAAAAAAACCCATTTCTTTCAAACAATTGACTCTGTTAAAACCCTTGAGTTTTGGAACGCTCAATTGATTTTATATTTGGATTATTCTTTTGTCCAAGTGAACTATATTACCAAGCTGACTCTGCTCTTCCTATCAGAAACAAAAACTCCAAACCGGACAAAACTGACATAGGCAATTATCTTATGAGAGCAGCAGTTGTTTTGTCCATTATTATGAAATTCTACTTAATTAAACGTGGAGAGTTCTGTCCTCTGCAAGCTGAGCTTGGAATTGTCTGAGAAAGTTGGACGACTTAAAGATGGGGTAAAAGGAATGTATTTCATGACTGTTGGAGCAGTAAGCAAGGCTCTAATGACATTATGGTTGGCATTGAGTTTTGGGACCTTTCAACTCAATTATGGGATATTGAAGAGGCGGGACCTCTTAATTTAATGTCCATGTTGATGTGAAGTGAGATGAATCATTGTTGTTCTATCGAGGGTTTGAATTGACTCTAAAATCTGGTCTTCGCTAACATAGTCGAGTGTCTTATCATTTCATCGAGATCATGCTCATCTCCTTTCCCTCATACAAGAAGTTAGTGATTTGTAACAGGAAATAAGTAGTCTTGTACATTCATCTCCATGAAATTGTATCTCTTGTTCAGGGAATTTACACAAGAGGGACTTACAAAGGAATATTTTTATGCTGCTGAAAAACTGTAGTTGTGACATGTCCCTGTAATTTTGATGTGAATGTTGAATTGAATGCAGTTTCAAACACTTCTTGAATGGTTAGGATTCAAAGAGCCGGTACCATATTGGAACTTAACTTGAGATGTAAAGTATATATCACTAGAATCCTAGCATCCTTTTACTTTCACCCCTCACTGTCAAATTTAGAATAAGCTGCTGAGCTTTTATACTTGTAATTTGTCCATGAGCCTTTGAAACCAAATAATTTTTAACAAGCCATCAATTATGTCTTGGAAGTTGTCTTACCATGTTTTGTAATTGTTGCTAAATTTTTAATATTACTTAGATCCAGCAACGTTGGAAGAAAGAAGTTGTTTTTTAATGATTTGTATTTATAATTCTTGTAGTGAGTATTTGCAGGTTCAATTCTCTCAATACAACAAACGCATCTGTGAACATTTTCCACATGGAATACGTTATAAAATGTACACCTTAGATTATAATTTTGCTTCCCACCCACTTTTGTTGACCAAAAGTCTACAATTATTGTGCTTGTTTGTGAATCAAAAATTGTTTTTAAATAAGATAAAATAATTTACTAGATCTAGTTAAATTTTTCCTTCTGTGTTCCTTCCTCATACACAACTAGTCTAGGTCATTATGTCATATTTTTCCTCCACAGTTACATCTACAAATCCAAATTTGTTTGGATGCTATTTCACCTTGGTTTTTTTTATTAAACTGAAGCATTCAAATTATTTTTTTATAAAACTAGTTCTGCTCCACAAGTAGATTGTGTTCTCAACTGCAGCAGATCAACAAATCTTGTTTGAAAGAAGTAGTGTGTATGCTCTATACAATTGTTGAACTTAACATTAATTTTCTGTGAATATCATTCATAACCACAACCGCTGCTTCTAACCAAAATTTCACAGGGATTACATAAAAAACTGATTGTGAAAGAAGTAATTCAGAACAAGATACCGCTCTTCATTTTCACTACTCAATGCAAGACTCCACGCCAAACGTCACTTTTCAGAATGGTGTATTGTGGGGTCTGACACTAAGCAATCGATTTGAAGAGGTGTGAAATAAAATTTTAATCGTAACTGGATAAAAATGATGAATTTTATCATTTACTTTTCAAAAGATAAAGTAAATTGCAGTGCACTGCTTCGAGAACGTTTTGCCTGTTACCTCCAAGGATATCACCAGCGTTCAACTCAATCTCGAAATATCACACCTTTTCAGCTTCTTGGCTTCTTATTTTAGAACCTGTACATAGTTACATTTTCAGCTCTGGTGAATTTCATGAAAAGAATTTCTGTAATTAATCATTAAACTAATCTCTGAGAAAATATAACTTGAAGCCTCATTTCAAAGATATCATGCAGATTAAGTAATGGCAGCTTGATTCAGACCTAGCACTGATGACACAATGAAAAGCCCCTTTTCCTGTAAGCTTTAATGGCTTTATTTTGTGTCTTATTATATCAACTAAATGACATGTTTTTACTGAACTGGGTAAGATTTATCTTTCAGTCAGAGATTCTCCGACTGTGGTTATGTTTATTTGGTGATGTGATGTGTGTGTCGTCATGATGCATTAAACAAACACCATACTACGCATTGAAAAACTCTTTTATTTCAAATTAAAGAAATAAAATTTCTTTTTGCCATCCGTTGTCTCCTGTTGTTACTGTTGCTCATCTGTCTGTGTTTGGAGGAGTTTTTGGGTTGTTAATTTATTCTCCTCTGATATATGTGAGGCAGCATGGTGGAATCAGGCTCTCGTCAAAATAATCAAAGTGAAGAAACTCATTTTTCCGCAGGTTTGTGAATTTGTATCAAATTATTGTTTTTTGGCTGAACACTTTTCATGCTTATTAAAGAACTAATTTCTGTGTGGATTTTTCTGAAAAACGTTGATTAAAGGCACAATTGATGTAAATTTTCAGTTACCACGGACTCTTAAGCCAAAGAAATAACTAATCTTTGGCGGTTATTTTCTCACTAATTTTACCTCTGAAAACAGGTGACCCCCACCTCCTTCTTTCGCAAATATCTCGACTTGTATTCAAGATAAATGGATATTTTTTTCATCCAAATAAAGACAAGTGAACAACCTTTAAGGTGATACCAATAACTCTACAAGCCCAGAAATTGACGAGAACCTGATTCCATCACCACGCTGCCTCACATATAGTCGTTTTTTCACCCCCATTGAAACAATTTAGATCATTAAAGAGGCTGGCTTCTGACCCTGCCTGTCTGGGCCAACTTGAACTGAGATGGATACAATATCCCAGCAGACAGACTTAGATAATATTAATAAAAATGTTCTTCAACACTTGGGAGCTGAACCCGGGTTTCCTGCAGAGAAATGCCTAACTTCTACACCACAGGTGCCAGTAGGGTAGTTGCATCTGATGTAACAATGAGAATCTTATAACGATAAGTTAAAAACATGTTCAGGACTGGCTGGTTCTCCAGGGGTACTTCCCCAGACCAATTTGCTGTTCAGCATCTCACGACAAAAATTCTTGTTTCATATTCTCTTTGCCTTTTAGTTATAATTGAATACAGAACAATGAACCTTACCATTTGTTTTTTTATTAACTTCTATATATCAAAAGAATGCTCTTTCTCTCTCTCTCTCTCTCTCTCTCTCTCTCTCTCTCTCTCTCTCTCTCTCTCTCTCTCTCTCTCTCCCTCTGGGGGGTGGGGGGCGGGGGGGGGGGGTGTCAAACCCATACCATACCAAACACTGGTTGACATACAATAGCTCAATGGAAAAACTTCAACAACCAGCATTGTGTAAACTTTACATAGGAGGAAAGTATCTGTTTCAATAGTTTCGATTGATCGTCTTTTTTTTCTCTATTGTGATCTCAGCTCTCAGTATCTTATTCTATCATCTTTCCAAAGAGAACACAAATATTTGGATATGACACAATGTTGAAATGGAGGACATCTTTTCATATGAGAACCCCTTTTACTAGATTTTGACCATTATTTTCTCAATTGGACACCTCAGAACTGGTGAGAAATATACTCCGAAACAAGATCCTTGGTTGGGGTTGTCAGGTTAATCTTGTAGTAACTGCTGAGGCAACCTTTACAGAGGCTTGGTCATGAAGCATTGAGAGGAAATCTTGCAAAAATTGTAAAAGGTGAAAAAAGTCATGGTATAAAATTTCGACCACAAGAAATCAGTCAAACAACCTTTCTATATAATTTGTAATACATACAGCTAACACAGAAAGAGGACCACAGGAGGTCATCGAAAGTATGAAAAAAAGAGAAAGAAACATGACATTGGAAGTTCACATTACATTAACTTGGTCAATATGATCAATTAAGCAACAATAGTGGTGTTCTATTATTATGAATATAGGAATAAGTGATAAAGAAAGTTCAACAAGAATAGCCAAAAAAGAAGGTAGGGGAGAAAATTTCAGTAAAATCAAAAAGAAATCATTCATACTCTACATACCGAATATAAACTTAACATTCTCGCACAGACAAAACTTGTCCGGAGAAATAATACTGCACATTCCAATTAGAAAACAGAAAGTTTCTTTCACACATGATTTGTTTGCCACACAAACTAATTTCTTGCAGCATTAAAGTGTTATTAGAGGAAGCTATAACACTTAATATTTGGTCCACATTATTGCCCAAAGATACATTAATATATCATTCACAAATTCCCAATAACGTTCACCAGCCATTTTCTTTATTACAGCTACATAATGTACTATCAAAAGTTTTTTTAAAATATGGTTGTTTGTTAACACTTTGCGGGCACTTGGCGCAATAATTCGTTGGTGAAAATCATCCGTTCCAGTCACTCTCCTGGCTGGATGACCAGATGGGGTATTTTGTACTGCTGGTTGTGTGACTGCAAAGTGTTAAATTTCACATCGAGAGCCTCTGAAAATAACATATTAACAAACATATTTTATTGTCACCATTCTGTTATCATTGCTGTAAAAATCATGCCATTCATTGCTATGACATCGTTCAGACCAAGAGAACAGGATTACTACAGTTCCTGAAGAGATTTTCTCAGCCGATCAGCAAAAACATCCACATGCTTCTTCTGTAGTGTCAGGGTGGGTCGAAGTCTCAATGTACTGCTCCCGGATGTGCCAACATGGACACCTGTAGGAAAAAACAGCAGCTTTGTTCCATCTGTGCTTTGTCATAAATATTGTTGTGATATTGAAAGGCACAATCATTTCACGGAAATCAAAGCAATATTGTTGATATAATGAAGAATCTGTATTTCCTACCTTCTGTAATATACTTTAACTACCTGGAAAATTATTTTGGTTCTCTTTTAAAACATAAAGGCTATTGGTGGGTTGTTGGGTTCTTGTGTATAAACAAGGTACAAGCACTGCTGTGCAGTTCAAGTGTAACTCTTACTATTTCGGTAAATTAATGAGTGCTGTGGCACTGAAACAGGTACGCCTCATTTAGACCATTTTACAATTGAATGTTTTGCGTTCATCAATTAATGTGTATGGCTTTAAAGTCTTGACAGAGGATCTTGTAGCAGTATACACAATACAGCTTTGCCTGGAAGATAGACAAAGGGGAAGAGGATTATTGTCCTAGTACAACTTCACTCCCTTCAGATCTAGACTTCTTTGATATGCTCCACATGAGGAACACAGAATGCTTTGGAATCAAGGAAGGCGTGTCTTTCTAACTATTTTACACGTGTTATAGGGATACTAATTTATTGTTCGAAACTTTTAAAAATTAATTTTGCGTGGGTGGCAGACTAATGGCCGAATTCTCTACAGTTTTCATCCACCAAGGAATTTTTAACTTGTGCAACGTGCGCAGGGGACTTCCAAGATTTTTTGAACCTCATCCGAGAAGACTAGGTAAACAATCTTACTATCTACTTTATTAAGATCAGGGGAGTGAGAGAAGGAGGAGATTGAGTAGTGGGTGGTTACCAAATCACTTAACTCCAATGAATTAGTAGTAAAAACCAAATAACTGCACTTCTGTTCAAATATCTACGAAAACATCATCAAACTTTAATGGTTACACAAGCAAAGCAGAATGGTATGAAAAGATAATTCCCCAATTCTGTAACTCATTCACTGGGTTCACAAAAGATTCAGATTTGACCCTTATAATCTTTTCAATGGGGTACTGCTATCATAAAAACTCAGATTTTTACTCAAATGATGAGTATATAACATTTCTAACAGTTAAAGAAGAAGCAAGATTCACTTTCAGATAATTCAGAAGGTTACTGTGGTGTAAACGCACCTTAAGAATAGAAGGACATGTATTATAGCGTGAACACACCTTAATAATAATTATTGTGACGTAAGCCTAAGGGACATATCACGTGACTATGATTTCGTGCAAGCGGTGGGCCGAAACGAGTAACATCAGCTAACGAAGAACTAGCAGACGAGATCCTGGGTTTGAATCCGGATAGCCAAGTAAAATTTTCTTTTCTAAAACTTCTCCTTTCTCCTCCTTTCCGGCTCTCTAACAATATTCTGTCGTCTACTTTCATTTCCACTTTCAGCCCCCATCCCCTCCCCCTTTGCCGCCTCCTCTGGGATCCTGGTTTTTACTGCAGCCTTTCTACTTCTACTCCTTGGCGCCTTCTTACTGTTGTCTTTCAACTACACCCCTGATCTTAGGGTAGGTAAAATCTAACACCTAGCCTTCTCAGATTTTATAAGGGCAAAAAATAATCTAGGAGGTTCCGAGTTGCACACATTACAGGTCCCTTGGTGGTCCAAAATCGATAGGGATACGCTTTGGGCACTACCCGGGCAAAATTCAAAATTTCCATCCAATTGAAAATGTTAAATGTGTCCAGCACGTTCATATGACCTTATGCAATTGTGAACACCATAAAACAGCTATTCACTCATTCAGTGGAACTTGGATTCAACGACGTCGCCGGGCCTAACCTAAAATCTTGTTGAATCCTTGCATTCCTTATAGCAAACACGAGGTTTTGTGTAGATAATTACAGGAACTGAGCTAGTAATGTATAAAGAGAAGTCACAAGTAGATCCCGAAATGCCTGGTCCTTTGGCACACTGGAAACTCGACAACAATAAGCAGACGAAGACTACAAGATGATCTAAATTCCCTAGGAATCTATTGCCATTTATGGAAGATGAAAGTAAACTGCGAAAAAACTGTCTACTCTGTTTTTACGAGAAGCTATAACCTTGCAAATGCAGAAATCCCTCTCAAAATAGATGGTACCAACTTGAAAAAGGAAAATAACCCAGTGTATCTTGGAGTACAACTTGACAGCAAGCTCAACCTGAAACAACACACCAACAACCTCAGGAGGAAGGCTATGAAGAGACTTAATCTCATCAAACGACTTGCCAGTACCAACTGGGGATCAGACAAGAACACCTTGAGAGGCCTCTATTTAGGATATACCAGAGCTGTTTTTGATTAGAATCTTGTTCTACAAAACATTTGCAGTAAAACTACAAAGAACTCAATGGACACCATCCAAAACCAAGCTCCTCGTCTTATCTCTGGCGGAATGAGATCCTCACCGACTGCGGCCTGTGAAATCCATACAAATATTGAGCCATTGGAAACTCGAAGAAAACAGGCAGCTTTGGAAGTTTATGAAAGATCTAAAAGGCTAGAAAATAACCACCCTAATAGAGTCCTTGTTGACAAGTGGAAACCTAATCAAAGACTAAAAAATACAAAATCTGTACTTGACACTGTTCTCAATCTCCAAGAAAAACATCACCTCCCTGAAAGACGAGAACCTCTGGAAAGTGTTCCCTCAACTCTCCCACCACATATCACCATAGCAAAGCCAGAAATTAGGAAAACACTTTTGGACAAGAGCAATAAAAACACATATCCTGTAGCACTAAAACATTCTGCCCTTGAAACAATTGATTCCTATCCACCAACATGGATCCACTCATACACTGATGGATCTGCCTTTAAGGCAACAATCAACGCTGGATATGGGTCAGTGATCAACTTGCCCAGTGGGATAAAAAAAGAAGTCTTTAATTCCAGCGGGTCCTTCTGCTTCAATTTCATTGCCGAACAACAGGCTATCACCAACACAGAAAACTACATCAACTACTTGTTTGACACTAACCCACTTGCTACCACAGACATTGTTATCTTTACAGACAGCCTTTCAACACTAGAGACACTTGAGAGTGGGACTGATGTGAACAAAGATATATTGCACCTGATTTGGAGTCTACATAATTTGATAAGTAGGCACCACGTCAGAGTAGTCCTACAATGGATTCCTGCCCACACTGGGATACCGGGAAATGAAAGAGCTGATGCTCTAGCAAAGAAAGGAGCTAGCCTCCCTCAGCCTGAAATTCCAACGAATTACACCACCTGCTGCCAAATGATCAAGTCAAACCTCAAAGAAGAGTGGATGAATGATTGGGCCACAGGTACAACAGGAAGGAGGATGTATGGCCACATGAATAAACCACTGGTCAAAGATCCAATCAATGAGTTGAGGAGGGGAGATCAATCCATAATCTTTCAACTTAGAACACAACATGTACCCCTCAACCAACATCTCAACCGAATTGGAGTAAAGCAGTCTGCTGCCTGCCCACTATGTGACTACCCCTCAGAGACAGTGGAACATCATCTGTTCTTTTGTAGAAAACTAACTGATTTAAGGGGATGTTTTCTTCCCAAGCTACCCCACACATCTAATTGCCTCTACTCCTCACGACAACAATTAGAACAAACATGCAACTATTACCGAAAGGCATCATGCAGAAGAGTTAATGCTCAGATGCTACTGGATCGCTAACAACAACAACAACAACCTCAGGCAACTTCCACCTACAAGCATAAATTAGAGGCGCGACGCAGTGGAATCAGGCTCTCCTCAATTTTTGGGCACATGGAGTTATTGGTATCATCTAAAAGGTAGTTTATTTGCCTTGCTTTCAAAGAGAAAAAAATATCCATTTATCTTGAATAGAAGTCGAGATATTTGCGATTGAAAGAGGTGTGGTCGCCCGGTTTCAGAAGTTTCCTGATTTTTACCTCATATTAGCGAGAAAATGGCCGCCAAAGTTTGGTAACTTCCATAGCTTTATAGTTCTTGGAAATGGCAAATTTACATTTTTTTGTGCCTTTATTCAATATTTTTTTGAATGGACACACAAGGGGTTGGGGCAAAACACAAAAATTCTTTAAAAATTTCCAAACTGGACGAAAAATGCCGATTTCTCGAATTTCATTATTTTGATGAGCGCCTGATTTCACCAAAATGCCTCAGAAATTTTAAAATATAATCTAAGATGCACTATACCATAAGTTCTGAGAATTCCAACCAATTTGTCTCTGGTCTGGGCATCCGGACAGTCAAAGGACATGATGCAACCGAGTCCTCGAGCGCGGGAAACCACATTTGGGAATTCAGCCTGGAAAAAATATAACAAAAGTTGAATTTTGTTTAACATGCTGAAACTGTTAGGTAAAGAAGTTATTGTCTAAGATTTGGGGCTTTTTAACTGCTACAAATTTTGAGTAGGTCTTTTCTAGAAGTTTCCTGAACATTTAATTTTTTTCACAAGTGGTATTATTGAAACATAGAAATAGGCGTTATCAATGTGATGGCATTGAAGCATGGAAATAGGTGTTAGTAGTATTATCTACATGTAAAAATTGAAACATGGAAATATCATTCAAATTTAACCATGGCTATTTCCACGTTTCAAAAACACAAATAGCATGTGTTATAGATATATTATCCCTCATAAAAATAGTTTGTCTATCACTCTGTCTGTCTGTCTGTTTGTCTGTCTGTCTGTCTGTCTTTCAGTGAGTCAGCTGGTTGGTTCAATTGTTAGTTCATTTGTCTGTTCATTAGTCATCCCTCTCTCTATCTCTCCCTGTCTTTTTTCTCTCTCTCCTTCTCTCCCAACACACACACACACACACACACACATACACACACACACACACACACACACACACACACACACACACACACACACACACACACACACACGCATAACATACATAATTTGCACTCTTAAGCATCGACATTGATGCACATACCATACACAAACGTCAACACACATATGCCTATCATATTAATACACAGAGTCACACACATGCACACAAACACACACAAACACACACAAACACACGCACACATTATATGCACCCATACACATCCACATTAATACACATACCATACACTCACATCAACACACATTACACTCACATCAACACACATACACACATATACATTCACACACACACACACACACACACACACACACACACTCATGCACACACACAAACCCACACACACACACACACACCTGAGCAGTCTCCAGCACTTGAAGCATTTGTTTCCCCAACTCCGCAGTTTTCTGCACTAAACCTTCCTCCTTGATGGTGGCAAGCACCTCACGTAGAATCACAATCTTGGAAGGGTCCCCGATCCAAGTGTTGAAGATGCGATAGCCCTACATCAGGGAAGAGAGTCAACACTAATCAGGGCAAAACTGGTGCTGATGAAATACACTTGACAGAAATACAGAAGCACTGACAACACAAACACGAAAAACATGAAATCACAGATAGCTCGTAAATTTGCTATACATGTACCCCGACTGACCTTTCTTAAATTTTTCGTAATGTGGCGTCGGTGGCCTAGTGGTTAGGATCTCAGACTCGCAACCGTAAGGTCACGGGTTCGAATCCCGTCAGGGGCCCGACGTTGTGTCCTAGGGAAAGGCACTCTACATGAATTTTTCTCACTTCACCCAGGTGGAAATGGGTACACGGCTATAGACAGCGAAAGATCTTGTCAGTTTGTTAGTTTTTGAGCGCTTGATCTGCTGCTTGCACTGTATGCTTCCTGGGAAGCTGAGAATGTTTCGGAGTGTTCTATGGTCTGCTGGGGTAATAATATAGTGTAAAGCACATAGAGCCTGCTGTTGAGCGGGGATATGCGCTATACAAATGCTATTTATTATTATTATTATTAACCCGAAGTATGGATGAGGCAAATAGACTTGTCAATCCCAGACAGGTTTGAGCTATTTGTGCCCAACTGTATCTTGATAAGAAACATATTAAAAAATTGGTCATTCCTCATGTGATTCACTTCCTTTTGTGAGGAGAGAGAAATTCACAATCAATAAAAAATATTTGATGATAAGAAATAAATCCAACTCAAAACATTGATCATTTCCAGTGTATTCATAAATAATTTACCAAGCCTGAAATACCATACGAAAAATTACTTTTAACTCATTGCTTTCATGACACACCATATGATAAGGCACCTCCCATTAGTGGTGACTACATGCCATTATATCACAAAATTCACCAAACAAAGGAATAACATTTTTCTGCCCTCATTCATATGGCATGTATATATAGCATATCGATAATAGTAATATTTCCAAGAACAATCTTCATTCACTTTTCTGTCATTAAGTAAAGTTACTTCGTCGATAATTTCGATGCCAAATGTTTCTCTTGGTAATTTCACTGTCACCCGCATCATGTATTGACCCGCGGTTCTAATAAAATTTATAGGGAAAATAGCCTTGTTAGGATAATTAGTTAAACTCCAAGCTACTTCCACTTGAAAGAACAGTTAATGTGAAATTTAAAAAAGTTGAAGTTTGTTTTGATTTATCAAAATATTGAAGATGAGGCTGTTAAGACCACAACAGCTTTTTTCAATACAGTAAAATCTCGCATCCAAGCATTGTCACCCCGGCCATAAAGGTGTGGGGAAATATTCATGGCGAACGTTATAATCATGCCAGAAACATGGCAAATGAAAAAAATCTACCCAGAAAAACTGACTTTCTGGGTCGAAAGCGGCGCCCTCCCTGTGGAGCCTAAAGAACGTTACTTTATTGTCATCCAACTTTGGATTACTGGGGACTGTCCACGTGGTTGGGAAAATGGTGTTAGAGGGTGACTTTGAGTGTCTTCCCTCAGAAAATCTGATAAGAAAGCGAGGCTTTCATCTATCCACCTGTGGAAGATTTGGCCTTTGTAAAATGGGACCAGTAATTCCTCCTCTGATTTGAGGCTAAAAAATGGACACAGGAGTAAACAATACAGAACTAACAGAAACAAGAGTAAGTTCTGTTCTACGTACCTCTGTCGGTCTGAGTTCATCACGGTAGTAAAACCCGCCTGTCAACATTTTCTTAGCAAAGGTCATCAAGTCCGGGGGATCTCTCAAGTTGAAGTACTCATGTACCCAAAATTTGCCTGTTGTACCAGCACCCGTCTGTACCTCATCAATCAGCAAGTAAATATTATTCTGGAGAAAAGAAAAGGAGTAAAGGACAACATCATTCTTCACTTATGGGGCATTTCAATGGGACACCGCACTGTTACTTTTAAGAAATTCCTATCAACATGGTGCTTAAGTCAAACAATAATCCCTCTCATATTCTTATAACAGAGTGCTATAGGCCTAAACACTTCATACAGTCAACGTTGAAGCCAAGTTCGAGGGTGGTTGGCGGGTGCTCTGGTGTGGTTTGCTCCTTCTTTCCTATCAAACATCTATCGTCCTTTTCTCTACTCCTTTTTGTGTATGTTACTCTCTTGTAACACGTCTTTTCTTCGGCACTTATATGACCTTATTGTGTTGCAAGTGCCCTAAAATGCTTACTAAAACATGAAGCCAAGTTCACTCAAAAATATATAAAAGTAATATACTAGTACTGCTGCTCTCTTCACAGCTATTTATTTCTCTACATTGCCCAAACAACTGGTTAACCTAAGAAATATAGTCACCTCCTGGCAGATGTCTTGAAGTCCTTGGAAGAACTGTGGACTGGCAAAGTTGTCTCCACCTTCACACTGAATAGGCTCTGTGGCCACACACGCCACGGGCTTGCCTTTCTGCTTGGCATCTTGGATCAGCTCTCGCACCTACAAGACGAAATAGAAAAATTACCACCCTGATAATAGAGAGAAGAAGGTGTTGAACGTAGAGATTGGAAGACCTGTCTGATTGTCTTCTTTGCAACTGCCTTTCCTGCAAACATAATATAAGCCAATGTCTCTGGATCAAATGACTCAACCATGAATACATTTTTAGGAAAAGAAAAAGAAGACTTTAGATAGTGATAAATTTTGTGATCGACTATCCAACATCACCAGAAATATTTATCAATCCAACCTCACACAGTTTATAACTTTACATGCTTCTTTCATGGTTTTCATGTGCACTGCCTAGCCCAAACAACACTTTTCAGAGTTTTTTTCTCCATTGCCTAGCTTCGATGTCCTTAATCCTCTCATTAAAGGTGATGTGAGTCCTCACATCACTTAATTGTATCTTGGCCCAAACACCAAAGTATATCTCGAGCTTGAGGGCGAGTATTTGGTAAGAGGTACATAAAGGATGTGGCCTCATACATAAATAAATGTGACATGCATTCATATGCTCACAGTGAGATAGTAGTAGGCAAAAATGTCAACATGGGCAAGCAGAGTGCATTGAAGAATGTATTAATATCATCTCAATATGACTGTCTAAAGTACAGCATTAACTCTACAAAATTCAAAGACAATGTCCATCATCATGATTGCATTAATGTTTTTAAGTCTTTTACTGCTCTGTGCTACTGATTTATCTTAATCTTAGAAATATGCTCTATGTTCCTTTTTCAAACTGCATCTCTTTTTATTCCTCTTTTTCCCCCTTTCTAAATCGTATTCTTTATAGTTCTGTCCTATGACTATAGCACTCATCATGGCAGACATAGTTACAATAGCTCTTTGTCTAAACAAAGATAATAATAATAAAATAGCACTTGTGTAGTGCAAATTCCTCCTCAACAGCAACCTTGTTGTGGTTTACAATCTATACCATTACCCCTGAAGACCTGATAGCATTATGAAACAATCGCAATATTTTTCCTTCCCATTGGGATACTCAGCATTAAAACAATATAAAATAAAATTTAAAAAACAATCAAGACAATTCACCTCTGCTAAGCACTTTTCCTCTTCTAGCCGATTCTCCTCTGCAAACTCTTCCAGTGGATAGCGAAGGGTGGGGAAAGTTGCGATTGGCCAGTCTGGGCTGGGGAAGTCCAGCTTATGTGCCCATTTAGTGTGGGTCAGGGCAAGGGCACCTTTGAAAAGAAAGGACAAAGCTTAATGAAATAAAACATATTTGTGAATCTTCAAAAGGACCAATGTTCAGCACCTACTGCCTTCATTGAGAAATGTACCAAAAAATGATTATATAAGAACATAGGTGGCATTTTAATTGTTCCCGGCTGAGTTTTGAATCGCAGCAAACTCGGTCTAGATTAAGTTCTTGAGACACACACTTTCTGCCATCCCTATTTTATTGGATTTTTTTTACTTGAATAAAAATTGTGTATTAGCTTCTGTAGTAGGGCAGAGGATGCTAGAATAAGTCATGAAAGTAAGCCTTGGGAAGCAGAGAGAAGGAGATCTCAGGGCAAGTGTGTTAGCCTCACCTTTGTTACACTATGAGGGTGAGGCCATATCAGAGTCATGACTTTGGGATGGTTTCTGTGTGCTTGGAAGAACAAATTAAGTTTTCTTTCTGTCCAGCACACTTTTCTTGTTCCATATGTGTGGGTTGTTTAGGATAAACTTCATATAGGGCTTTTAATATAATAAACAAACCTTTTCTCACACATTATGATTTCTGTTTCTTACTTTGAATTTCGGTTCATTGAAGTTCTATCACTATTCATAGGTATTAATGCTTGTAACATCATTCCTTTTCATCCTCAAAAGGAACAAACTATTTTTTTGTTACCACAGTGAATATAATTACATGAATCTGACATTCTGCCAAGATCATAGAAGACACATTGTTAATACATGTACTGGTTTCGTCCATAACTAAGAGTGGATTGTGAAGGGAAAAAAGCACTATTATATTGTAACACATTCTGATTGGACACAGAGAATATAAGGAAATCATCAAGTGTTGTACGAGAGAAGCATTCAGACCTCTTCCTGAAAAAAAACACCTGTTTTTTTCCCCATTATCATTCTTTGCAAAAAATATGCCTATCAACAATTAATTGGGGTGGGTTGCTGGTGAGCTTTTGCTTCTTTTTTTTGTTTCATATTCTTTTCATCTGACATGCTACTTTTTTCTCAACACTTAGTTATCATTTCTGTCTAGTTATTTTTCTTTTTAACCACAAATTTGCACAATTGAAAAGCTCTTGGAACATTATCTTCAGTATTTAGAGAGGAGATATACCAAAATTTGTATCAGATACTCCACACAAACAACAACAAAATGAAAATGCCACTCAATGTTTAAAATATCAGCTTTCTGAAAAATCATTCTTTCACTTTATCTAACAAATAATTGGCAAAAATTACTAGCCCCCCTTTCCCACTGCTTCTCTGTGATCAGGTAAAGTCAAATGCGAGTAGCTGGTATTTTGTGAATGTTGCATTGCTGAGGTATAAGACAAGACACAATTTCTGTAGTTGATGTATTCCAAAAAAAAATCTTGAAAAAGTTTACTGTAAGGCAGAGAGTCATGCATCATCAGAATCACATGATTAAGGTAACAAATATTAAAGTGTTTCCAGGTTGACAAAAAAAGAAGCTGCTTAACATTAACAAGAAATACATTCAATGGTGTAGATCTATCTATAATCTGCTATCTATGTATTCGTATGCTCTATCTATGTAACTAAAAAAATAGGTCATTCGTTTTCTGTTATAAAGCCACTGCTGAGGTCTTTCTATGGGTCCTCATTACAAAACATGAGTCAGCATGCACTATAAATGGTATTTATAAATATACTATGGGCTAACATTTTTATTTTCTCTTATCATTTAAATCAGAAGGCCTCCTTTTTGACACTGTTGAAACATGTTTAAGAAACCAGATACATGAAAATAGTACAGTAGGCGTCGTTAGTCTCTCAGACTCAAAACTGTAAGGTCGTGGGTTCGAATCCCGTTAGGGGCCTGACGTTGTGTTCTTGGTAAAGGCAATTTACATGAAGTTTCCTCACTTCACCCAGGTGGGAATGGTACCCAACTGTAGACAGTGAAAAATCTTTCCAGTTTGTTAATGTGTGAGCACTTAATTAGCAGCTTGCACTGTATGCTTCTTGGGAAGCTGGGAATGTTTCTGAGTATTCTATGCTCTGCTGGGGTAATTTACTTGTAAAGCGCATAGAGCATGCTGTAGATCGTGGATATGCGTAATATAAATGCAAATTTTATTATTATAATTATTATAA